GGAGATGTGAAGGAGAAGTAAAGGCAAGAGTAATTAGCATTACAAGTTCTAGACAGGGAACTAGAAAAAAGTCAGAACAGGGCAATTTTCAAATGTTCATATATGAGTCCATTGGAGTTTCTTGACAAGGGCTTCCAAAAGCATCCCTCTATTGGGTTCTTCCTCGTTTTTCTTTTGTCTTCCAAGGCTGGACTAGTTGGCTGGGAAGAGTGGCTGGATACTCAGGTGAGGGTCCAATGACCCAGCTTGGCACTCCTTTAAATGAATGAGCACAACCGTCAGCAAGCCCAATTGTGACTATATTTAGCGATCAGGCTCAGCCGAAGTCATGATGGTGGTAGTTATTTCATGCAGAAGGGACTGTTGTGTAGCATCATCTTATTAAAGGGACCTGGAATTTAAAAGGATTTGGTGCTAGGATCCACATACATCGTTTGTTTTTCGGAGTCGGTGTTACTTCATTTAGTAAAACAGTTTCTAGATCCATCCACTTACCTGCAAATTTCATTATTTCATCTTTCTTTACTGCTGAATAGAACTCCATTGTGTAAATATACCACATTTTCGTTATCCACTCATCAGCTGAGGGACACTTAAGTTGCTTCCATCTCTTAGCTATTGTGAAAAGAGCAGCAACAAACATGGTTGTACAAGTGTCTCTACGATAGGATGAGTCCTTTGGGTATATGCCAAGGAGTGGTATAACCGGGTCATATGGTAGGTTCATTTTTAGGTTTTAAAGAGTTTTCCACACTGTTTTCCATAGAAGTTGCATGAGTTTGCAGTCCCACCAGCAGTGAATGAGCATTCCCCTTTCTCCACATCCTCATCGGCATTTGGTATCATTTGTTCTCTTGATCCCAGCCAGTCTGATTGGGGTAAGGTGATACCTTAGGGTGGTTTTAATTTGCATTTCCCTAATTACTAACCATGTTGAACACTTTTTGAGATGTTTCTTAGCCATCTTTATTTCTTCCTTTGCGAACTCTCTGTTTAGATCTTTAGCCCGTCTTTTAATTGGGTCATTTAGTTTCTCAATTCCTTGCTTTTGAGTTCTTTATATATTCTTGATGTTAAACCTCTGTCAGATGTGTCACTGATGAAGATTTTTTCCCATTCTGTGGGTTTCTCTTCACTTTTTTGATTGTTTTTTTGCTGTACAGAAGGTTTTTAGTTTAATGAGGTCCCACTTGTTGATTGGTGACCTTAATTCCTGAGCAACTTCTGTCTGATTTAGAAAACCCTTTCCTACACCTATATCCTGTAAGTTACTGCAATATCTTATTTTTAGGGCAGTGCTCAATAAATATTTTTTAATGAACCTTAATCTCTTGAAACAGTCTTTTCTTAACTTGCCAGCAATGGTAGGAGATTTGATGTTTTTAAAATATTTATGTATTCTTTTTATGTGTATGAGTGTATTGCCTGCATGTATGTGAGTGTACCCATGTCATGCAATGCCACGGAGGTCAGAAGAGGGCTTCAGATTCCCCTGGAACTGGAGTTAAGGACGGTTTGTAGCCACCATGTGGGTGCTAGGAATTGAACTCGGGTCCTCCGCAAGAGCAGGCAGTGCTCTTAACCACTGAGCCATCTCTCCAGCCCATGGAGGAAATTTGATTTTAAAAGCTGTTAACATCTGTTGCTTACTGAGTGTTTCTGTTAAGTTCAGCTGTACTTTTACAATCTTTGTCTTAAACAGTAAAACAGGAGAGAAGGCTGAATTTCAGAGAGGTTGAGTAATTTTCCCAAGATTACGCAGATAACTAATACTAACTTCAAACTAAGCCCCCGTTACTCAGATTTGTCCCTGGGTAGACAGCAGTCCTTGAGCGGGGAAGAACATTCCATGCTTAGCCATAGAAGGGTCTTAGAATGACAAGCAGTTTTAGTTGTTTTCAGGAGAGTAGAGCTAAGTGGATTGAGAGTTTTGAAAACCTGATCAGACAGAAGGAATTCATAGACAGATCTATTGGGAAGGGACAGAAAATGAGTGGCGAGAAGCCCTTCCCAACAGACAGGCATCATACCACCCACCTCTGACGCTCCAGGTGCACCTGTGGGTCTTTCAATGACACCCTTGTACCCTTGTTCGCCATCCCATGGCTTGTCAGGGGCTCTGTTCCATGTGACCTAATCTCAGCTGCCCCCTGAACTCCCCCCTCCTTTAACAGGCAGGCACATGAATGTGAGGTTGAGGCTGGTGAGCCCTGCATGCACCGTGTTCTGAATACTAATACCCATGCCCATTGGGGTATCTGGCTCCACTGAGTTCTAGGGCCCCAGGCTGTTACCTGCTTCACCTGGATATGGACAGGGCAGGTATGGGGAGTGAGAGGAACTGGCTCTGGGGTCTAAGAAAATACAAATACCTTTGCCTTATGTGATGAGTGCAAAATAGAGAGGCCCAGATGGTGTTTAGAGAACACAGTCCTTACAATAAAACACCTCCTTTTCTCTAAATTCCCATTAGTACCTGTATAAAAGTAAATCAGATCAACAGTGTGAGTCTGAAAGGCTGAATAATGACCCCCACATATATCCACATCCTAACCTTGGGAACCCATGAATACTGCTTTACAGAATGAAAGGAGCTGTGCATGTGTCACAACACTGAGGAAATAGAGCTGGAGAGGGGATCCTGGAAAGCTGGATGAGTCACAGTGGTGCGCAGAAGAGGGAAACACGAGAAATGAGATGTGGGGATGAAACACAAGGTCAGAGTGATTCCAGGATAGAAACACAAGCCAAGGATTGCAGGCAGTCCCTGGATCTACCAAAGGCCAGGGACTCTTCCAGAAAGTACCAAACCTAATGACACTTGACTTTAGTCCAGTGCAGGGGTAGGGGGTGGATTTGAGACATGGTCTCACTAAGTAGCCCAGGCTGGCCTTGAATCCATGATCTTCCTGCTTCTGCCTCCTGAGCACTAAAATTACAGGTGTGTAGCACAAAATCCAAATCATGAAATTGGTGTCTGATTTTTGACTCCCCCGGAACTATCTGAGACTAACTTTAAGTTATTTAAAGTCCTTAAGTCTGTGTTAATTTGTCAAAGGAAACTAATGTAGAGTCCAACTTGAATCCGAAGGTATTCTCACTTCTTCCTCTTGGGATGACCATGAAATCCTGTATCTCTCAGAGAAGGGTGCTATCTTACACGGTTTCATTTTGTCTGTGACCATTTATTAAGCATTTACTACATAGTAAGCAGAGTTCACAGCTGGCTTTGTAAAAGCAGGTATGTTTGTTTTCATGGGGCTCTGATAGTGGGGAAGGCAGGCAATACACAACTGCAAATGACACAGCAAGAGACTCAAATATTAGTGATGTGGGGGAGGGGGCTCTTAGAAGTGACATTTCAGCTGAGATTTGAAAGATAATGCATAACTGTGTGTGGATCAAGGGGTAGGTATTCTGAGGGCATGTGTTTAGGTAGAGGGAACCACCTCACAGAATTTATTTTGTTCAAATAATATATTGGAGTGTGAATTAGAGAGAGAATGAGAGGAGAAAAAGATGTCTGCAGGGACAGACCTTTCAAAACTTTGAGGGTGTAGTAAGAAGACTGAGTTTTATTCTAAAAGCATTAAAGATGCCAATTACAGGGTGGAAATTTGGTAACATTTTAAGCATTGGTAGCTATGACATTTTAAAACATAGCAGCAGTTGTAGGAATAGGGGATATTTGGGGGAAATGGAAGGGTGTTTCAAAATAGCAAGTGAGAAATCAATTATGAGACTTCTGCAGTTGAGACATGGTAGGTGACTGTCAGCAGCAATGCATAAAAAGCAGGTGGAAGTAGATGGACTTGCATGAGGGAAACAGGGGGCATCACATGGAAGGAAGTGACCAAAGTCCCATAGAAAGAAGAGAATGGGGTCACATGGAAGAAAGTGGGTGGAGACACATTGAGGGAAAGTGTGTAGAATCATGTGGATTGTTAGCTTTATATTAGTAAATGTAAAGACCACAGGGTATGATCCAGGCATGACTGAATGGGGTACTTACTGACATGTAGAAATTTAGGGACAAGGGACCTGGAGAGATGACTCAAGCAGTTAAGAGCATTGGCTACTCTTCCAGAGGACCCAGGTTCAGTTCCCAGCACACACATGGAGGCTAACAACCATCCATAACTCCAGTTCCAGTGCATCCAATGCCCCTCTTCTAGCCTCTGAGGGCATTGCACATACTGGTATACTTACAGACATGTAGGCAAAACACACACATAAAATAAAAATTTAAAAAGAAATCTACAGACAAAAATTAAAATAAATAAACAAATAAATAAATAAATAAATAAATGTCAGGCGTGGTGGCACACGCCTTTAATCCCAGCACTTGGGAGGCAGAGGCAGGAGGATCTCAGTGAGTTCAAGGCCAGCCTGGTCTACATCGTGAGTTCCGGGATAGCTGAGGCTACAGGGAGACCCTGTCTCAAAAAGACAAAAAGACAACAACAACAACAAAATCTGAAGTTGGATCTTTACTGTGTTAAACTGCAGCATGTGACTGTCAATTCACCTCATTTGCATGGTGTAGCCAAGTTCTGGGGGCCCAACCAGCAGGAGGTGGTACAGCTAGTGGCTAAGTATGAGCATATGAGAGATATAGAGAGATATAGCTCCACAGTTTTTAAATTGTGTGATCCTGATGGGTTACTAACTCTTTATACCTCAGTTTTCTCATCTATAAATAGGAACAATAAACCCAGTCTTAAGTGATGTTCTAGAAGCAGATGAAGGCTCGGCAGGTAGCAAACACTCATTCACTATTTCCATCATGGCCCCCCCTGCAGCCCTGGGTGAATTCTTGTCCAAACGGCTCTCCACATTATCACCAACCAGTAAAAAGAGGTAATGAGCAAAACAGGGTCCAATTGCTCCTGGGCTTTATTGTCCAGCCCCACCCACCCTACAATGATATTAGAATAGTGCTACTCAGAAAATGATGCCAGGACCCAAAACCTGGCTCCTTCTCTCCTGACTTTGGAGACACTAAAGTTCTTCTTTGATTTTTGTTTTTTTCTCTGGACTTAGAGGCCGCTTTGGCTCAGCCTCCTCCTCCTCCTTCTTGGCTGTTTTCTTCTGTCTTTCTGGATCTTCCAACTTGGTCAAATTCTCCAGCTCTAGCAGACCTTGTGCTGGCCCTGGCAGCTTGGTTTTGTTCTCCGGCTCAGGCATCTCTTCCAGAAACCTGTCTTGTTCCGTCTTGTTCTCCAGCTTAGGCGACTCCTGCTCAGGGAACTGCTGCACAAACAGAATCTCCTTTTCCTCAGCTAAGACTTCGTCTTCTATGACTTCAGTTTTGTCAATGGACAATAACTGTTAAAATGTGGAAACAAGAGAGGGAGGGAAAAAGAACAAAGAAATGTATGTGATAATTATGATCGCAATTGCTACAGCTCCTTATCTAGATGAGCCCAGAAAGAATCATCTTTGGCTTGGAGTACCCTCATAGATGGGATGAGATGGTAATGTGTTCAGCTACGGTTTTGCCCTCTGCTAAGGGGATCTTGGAGCAAGCTGCCCCTCTACTCCAAGTGGAGGGGTGTGGCCGTCCTGTCCCTAACTCCAGGACTCTGGCTTAGCTAATGAGATCTTTCTCTAGGACATGTATGGAAGTACTGAGAAGTGTATTCTTTCTAAACTTGAATGAGTTAAGTTTGGGGTTACAGGGTAACATCTGACCCTCTATGGGGAAGTAAATGCTTGAGGAAATAACCAACACAGAAGAAAACACAAATGGGAAGAAAGAAAGCAGGCTTGAGTTACTGGATCCATTTGTGCCAGGTATCCTACTGTTTAAATGGGACAAATATCTATTGTTGCTGAAACAGAAGAGGCGTGCCTTTGATACTATCAACACAAAGAGTCCCACCTGATCCTGATGGCACCTTCCAGAAGATGGCTCTCTGAGGCCATGCTTGGGAAAAATGCCCTCAATAGGTCCCACCCATCCAGGTAGCATTGTCAGACAGCAGAATTCCATCAGGATATCTGATTATCATCTAAGGAAAGTAGACTAAGAGAAGCAGTCTTGGGAGCTATGTGCTACTTCAGATGCTTTGCCTTTTTGTTTCTGAAGTCTGCCATTTCTACTCCCTTGTCATAAATTCCCTTGAAATGACTAGTGAAGTCAACCAAAATGGATAGCCATCCAACCATCCTCAAAACCATCTCCAGAGATCATGAGATCATGGATGCAATTCTTCAAGATATGAGTGGAATTCTTGACATACTTTTTTTCTGGCCCACTGGTTTCTTAATAATTCTGTGTGGGAGAAAATAATCCAGCATATTGCTGTCATTCCTTACCTCATCCTCTTCCTCAATCCTTATCTTGACTTGACTTTCTAGGAAGTCACAAAAACCCTTCATGGTATGCTCTCCCTTATACAATACAGCCTAAAAAGAAAAAAGAGAAGGATAAAGATGGGCACTTCTTGCAAGTTGCTCAGGCACTATGTCAACAAGAAACACAATCCAATTCCTAACTGTCTGGATACACTGAGAAAACGCCCTAACCTCTATGAGCCTCCATTACCCTAGTTCTCAAATAAGGATAATAGAAATTCTTTCACCAGAGGATATGAATGAATGGGTCACAGCATGAACTATAAAGCCATACTTTATAGGTCTAACCTCTGGTGTTTCATTACTTATCACTATGGTCTGTCTGCTTACTGCCTGTCCTCACATGGACTTAATACTAGTGCTTACACTATAGTGTTCATTGTATTCAATGAGCTGATAAATGAAATGTGCTTAAATAGTGTCTGGATTATAGTAAGTACTGCATGCATTTTCTATGATTAGTAGCACTATGATGACAATAATGGTAAGATTATGGTTGTATTTTATAAAGTACCTGGCATGTGGTCAATATGCATTTATCAAATTTCCTGTCCTCTCTCAGTCTTTAGGAGGTTAAGCAGCAACTTTCTGCTCACTGGTTGCTTAAACTTTTTAACACACAACTTAAGATTGGTGACTCAGCCTCAACCTTTCAAGTAGCCACATTTTTGATGACCTCTCCATATACATCTTCTGCACTAGAATGGCATCTCATTCATAGTGCTCTGATCATCTTCCTGCCAACCTCTTTGCTCATGTTATATATCTGACCTGTAGTTCAAGGCCTCTTCTCTAATCTGAATTAAATCCTTATCATTATCCAGAGATCTGAGTCTACATGAAGATTTCAGCCATATCTGTCTTCCAGAATCTGTCCCCCCCCCCCCAGTGCCCATTGCATAGAGAGATGGATTCAAATCATTATGACTTTTCTTCCCACTCTGCCACACTCTCCTCTGGAACAAGGACCTTGGCTCATGCTTCTCTGATATGCCAAAGTCTCAGAGTGAAGGTGTGTTCCAACAGCCCTGGTGATAGTTGGATGAGGACTAGAGTCCCCAGATGTAAGGAGCATAGATTATTTCTGGCACACATTCTTCTTTCATCTGGTAGCACCCCACTCCCACTATCCCTATGAAGAGGTCTCTACCTTATTCCGTATGCTTTGGAGAGAGCTCTGCCTCATTGCTAGAGGAAACTGTCACTCTGACCAATCAAAGCATCAACATTCATTTGGCACTGGGATTGGTCAACAATGAGCAATTGACTCAAGTTGTGAGCAATTATATCAAGTCTTGGGACTTGGGTGGAAGTAGAAAATGCTCTGAACACTTGAGAGCACAGTGGGGACTGGAGCTGAAGGCGAAGTTGGTTCAGAAGAAGGCAGAGCTAGGGAGAAACTGAGTCCCTGGTGATAAATAATATTTTCAGTTGTGTGGGTCCCAAGAGCCCTCACCTCTTGAGAGTTGGTAGGGAAAAGTCTGAAGAATGGGTACTGCTCTGGGTTTGCCAGTTGAATATCATTTGCTGTTATGTCAATCTTGGCAGTGATGACTGTGGAGTGATTTTGATACTTTATGCCCAACTCTTCCAGCACTGGAAATAGTGCCTTACACTTCTCAGACCAAGGTGCATCTGGAAAAAAAAGAGCCTTACTCAACTCACAGTGCCTAGGATTCTGAAAGCTGAAGCCACCTCCCACATACCACCACTGTGTTCTTACTATGAATCTGCTCTGAAAATCATATTCTTCTATTCATATATTCATTTTTCACATCTCAGTACATGATCTTTATTTTTTAAACTAGAATAAAAATTAGCCTAGTGTCATTCCTTCATGACACTAAAATGGAAACTTTTTTTAATGCCTTCTTTTAACATAGTGTTCCATTAAGTTAAATGAATATATTTATGCTAAGTGATTTCCAGTGTTATGCCCAAAAGTGCACTCACATGTGTGTATATGCACGTGTATGTGTGTGTGTGTGTGTATGTATGTTATAGCACAGAGGTTAAGCTACTTGCTCAAGGTCATTTGGGAAATTAAGCAGAGGAAATGGGGTTTGAAGACTTGGACTTGATTGTACCACAAATAATGTGTAACAAAAGATAGCATCATACTACATAATATCTTATTACATAACAAAATAATATACTATGGTAAAACGTAACTTACCTTTCAGTCCCTTGAAGGACAATATGCCTAAGAAGTGAATAGGTATGCCCTAAAATTCTAACAAGTACAAATACCTTTGGGAAGGAGGCACTGGATGTTCTTGTGGAAAGTTGTTTGAGCTTTGAGAGGCCCAAGCTCCTGGCCCTCTGGAGAGAAACCAAAGTTCAGCTCCAAAACAGGGAAAACCAGATCTCACCTATTTGTCCTTCATCTAAAGCTCAGAACTCAGAATTTTTTTGCTCTGTGGGTGGAATGGCCTCAGAGGCTCCAACACCATACTTTTGCAGGATCATCCTTCCATTTACCAACCAAGTGCCCCATGACCAGACCTCCTGCCAGCAGCACCCCAAGTCCCCAGGAGCTTGGTGAGCTCTGGGTAGGAATAGGAGGGGTGTAATGGCTGAAACCCCAGGGTGCAATCCAACAGCGCTGCTTCCAAGAAAATGAGGTTGCTTTTGCCTTTTATTAGAAGCAAATGAATGTTCTCAGAACTCTGTGTGTCAGGTAAGTACAGCAAGGCTGCCCCAGCCACTCCTAAAAGGGAGCAGATTGCAGTGACTCAACTACACAGACCTCAGATGCTTTGTCTATAGACAAGAGTCTGTTTGATCAAGATTGTGAAATCTTGGATATAATCAGTGCGGAGATTGCTTCACTCTTGGCCTTACTACATACGTACTGTGTGACCTGGGATAAGGTAATGACCTTTCTGAGGCTGGGCTCATGTGTCACGAAGAAACCACTGTGCCTTCCTCATTGGCTTGTTGGAACACACCATATGCCACTCCCTAGCTCAGTGTAAGTGCTCACTAAATGGTACCTTCACCTCTTGAAATGGGGGCACTGTCTGAAGTAACTTCAAACTTACCTTCTACAATGTCTGAACAGAGAGTAGGCTCTAGCTTTGGGTCTGTCATATAAACCAGAGACTAGGGGAAAGGCTGTAATCTATAGACAAGAAGTGGAAATAATTTTAATAGGAATAAAAACAATGGTACTCATTTGTGGGGTGCTTGCAATGTGCCAGATACTATGTCAAGTCCTTTATATGAAGCATGTGCACCCCTGCCTCATAGGGGTCATGGGGTAAGCCACATGACGTCCAAGCTGGGGAATTCTGAATACTAGTGCTAGAGCTAGACTGAAAAGGTTTAAATCTCCCTTCCAGCACTTACTGAATGATACTGGAAATAAATTTGTCTCCTTGAGATTCCACTGACTGGTGACATGGAAGGGATAATAGTAACTACTTTTAAGAGGATACTGTGAGTATTAAATGACAAGGTATACAGTGCTCAGCCTGAGTCCTAATATACTGCTGCATCCAATGAAGCCACATCAGCCATCAATTATTATTATTGGAACAAATTGTCACAGACCTAGATTATATATAAAGCATTCTATACTTGCTAAGAATCAATTTGAGGCACAAAGTTGCATGTGGTTGCTGGCATCTTGATCCAGCCTCCCTGGGAGTTAAGACAATCCTTAGCACAGTGCTTTGATGGGGTTTGGAGACAGTATTGCCTAAGAATTCCATTCTGAGGCAACACTTGAAAGCAGTATCGGGCCTTGGTCTCCTATTGTCCCTATGAACATACTTACAGAACATCACAAACACATCCTTTTCCTTATCAAAGACAACCACGTTGAAGTTCTTCCCCACAAGCTTCTTAACTGGCCCTTGGTCCCAGTATTTTGGAATCTCTTCACTGGATTCGTGTTTCTAGGAAACAAATTCAAGTGGCCTAAGAGATTACATACTCTCCAGAAAGGACTATGTAATTGGGGATCACCACCCTAATTACAAAATATCAAAGGCTTTCCCTTGGAAAGACAAACTCTTAGAGGGAATATGAAATGCAGAAACAGGTCATAAGCTCAATGTGAACTCTGGGTTATCCAGGCCAGAAAACCATCCAAGTGCTGAGGATGGAGCTCTGGGATGTGTCTCTTTCAAGTACGTGATTCTTGGGATTTGAGGATGGGAGTGGGACTCGGGTCTTTAGCATCAACTCAATTTTTCTAAGAGTCAAACCAAGGCATTTACTTTCCCACTCCCCCAAGTTCACTGCCATTCTTCCCCTGGCTTTCTTTAGGTCTGATCTTTAGTTGATCCCCCACTGCCAAAAGACTGGCCTTCTTCTATCTCAGGCTTCTATGCTCCTCACACTGCCTGGAAGGTCTCTCCAAGTTTTAGACTCCCTCTTTTATCTAGTTTAACCCAAATTTATTCTTCAAGATGACCTTAAGAGAAAAATTTCCTTGACTCTCCCAAATTAAATGCGTTCTTTGAGATGTTTCCTTATATTGCTTATAGAACTTTATCATCTGTTTATTTCTCTGACATACTACATGGAATGCCATAAGACATTTTTTTCTTTTCTCAACAAGCATTTGTTGCTTGTCCCACAGCAAAACCTTAATAAAGACTTGCAAATGAATTCAACAGTTGCTTTTGTTTACAGAAAGTTTTGGAAATCTTGGTGCATTTTTCTATACAGCCACTGCCTCCTTTAGCCTGTCTCTTGAGCCTATATCCATTCCTTTTAGCCTTTCATTTCCCCTGTGACTACTCTACCCAGGTAGACCATGACTCTCATGTGACTCTCATGTGGAATAGCTAGTATTCTCCTTGTATCACCTCCAAATCCTCTCCATGCCTTCATTTTCTATAAGCAAGGATCTATTTCCACCGTGCAGATCTGGCTTGTCACTGCTCTTAGGATGCCAAACCTTTAATATACATATGAAGCCTTTGCTGTGTGGCTTCTGTCTTGGATCTTGAATATTTTTTAAAAAATACTGCCCTCATCTACCCTCTAGCCTCTGGAAATGATTTAATGCTCTTTCACGGGAGCATAAAGAGGACGGGGTGGGGCTGGACATGGGAGATGAGCAATGATGAAAACAGAGGAGAATCATGAATAAGCAGATCAGACAGATCTCATTGGTCATGTGACAGATGCTCATTTGTGGTCCAGGAGCACAAGAGGACATGCTGGTCTTTAAAAGGTAGATGACACCTTGGATCTAACTGAAGGGAGGAGAGAAGGTGTAGAATTTCTCAGGTCCATTGTAGATGTAGTGACAGAAACTGAGAAGGCCCCAGAAGACCTCGCTTTTCTTAGTTGGTTTAGACTAAAAGTGGGAATGGGGTAGGAGGAAAAATAGATTTAAAGATTGAGCGAATAAACACATTAAGAGAAATTGATATAGATGGGGCTGGAGAGATGTCTCAGTGGTTAAGAGCACTGACTGCTCTTACCAGAGGACCCGGGTTCGATTCCCAGCACCCACATGGCAGCTACGAACCATCCTCAACTCCAGTTCCAGGGGAATCCGAAACCCTCTTCTGACTTCCGCAGCATTGCACGACACGGTTGCACTCACATACATGCAGGCAATACACTCATACACACAAAATAAAAATAATAAAAAAAGAGGGATTGATATAGATATGCTTGGATATTTCTGAGTCTGTGAGAGGTGAGTCCACAAAGCCTGCCAGCCTCACGGTGAAATTGCTTTTTTTTAAAAAAAATTTTTTTTTGTCTTTTTGAGACAGGGTCTCCCTATAGCCACAGCTGGCCTGGATTCACTATGGAGACCAGGCTGGCCTCTGCCTCCCAAGTCCTGGGATTAAAGGCGTGTGCCACCATGCCTGGCTGAAGTTGCTTTTCTTCAACATTACTGTGGAAGCAGCATGGGAGTTAAGAGGGATCAACAGAAGTTGGGGTTTTGCCTGAAGGGTACTTCAGTGTGCAGAGGAGGTGGAAAGTGGAGACGGTGAGGGAATTATCAGAATGACAGACCATGGGATCCAAGCTCATGGAGAATGACACCAGAGATTGAAATGTAACCAGGAGATTGGAGGTCATGGGAGCCGAGAGGCTTTGTAGCAATGTGGTTAGTTGAACTGAGAGGATGAGAAGCCTGAAATTGAACATTTGGAGGAGCTGCCATCTCTAGATTGTGACCAGGCGAGCAGTGGCTGAGAAGGCACGGGCACACAACTCATGGAGAACAGAGATAAGCATGTCTGTTGGTATCTTTGGAAATGATGGCAAAGTGGGGTGGAAGCAAAATCTGCAATCAGGAGCCTGCGTCCTCGGAGAGTAGAAAGATGATCAGAGGACAGTCATAAGGGATGGAAGCAAGTGGTCAGATGTCAAAAGCAGGAGATACAAAGAATCTTGAGTTTTGCAAGGTGGGAAGAGAAACGGTTTGGAAGTATCAGGAAGGTTGCCCGCCTTTCTGCTTGACCTCATGATCATGTGCATCAGAGAACAGCTTCTCCCTGCAGCAGAGTCCCTGTGGGAAGACAGAAGGAAAAAGAAGCACCCAGATAGGATCATCACAGATGATGAGTTAACTGGAGACTATGTATTCCTGTTACTCCAAACACATTATAACAGTTTTGAAGGATTTCCCCATTTACTCTCAAAGGTTTGTAGTTTGGAATATAAAAAAATATGTTCCTCCTACTCATCAGGGATATAAAAAGAGATAAAATAACAGTGGATGATGAAGTGTTCTATGGTTATCTTTCTGAGCCTCTCCTTTCAGCAACAAAGTCTGTCTTTTCACTCTACACAACTGAAGGTCTCTGATGCCTTCGAGGCTAAATCATGATTTCTGTATGTGCTCCAATCTCTTTCTCCTTTACCCTTGGGCCAAGTGGGCCTTTCACATAAGAGGCTACAGGAAGGTAAGAGCCTCCTTCGGAGGGCAAGGCAACTCTTCAGAATGTCTTGCATTGCCATTGGAAATTTACTTTGCAGCTAAAGAACAAACAATAGAATTACAGCCTCAGGATGGGTCATAAGTTGGACTGATTCAAGGTGCGGAAATGAGGAATTGTCTCACTTTGAGCTTTGGGTTGATCTTTGTTTATTCTCTTCCTACAGATGACCACAGCCCAACAAAATTGTAAGGAAGGAATGATTTTAAGGTCAAACTTACCTGAGAACAAACTTACCTTGGCACTTCTGCTTAGGAAGCTGAGCGAAAACTTCTTGAGGCTTTCATAGGTTATATCGTCTGTGGGCATTTTGTACCTGGCATCAGAGCTTAAGTTTAGGATTTGAATAGATGGAACATTGACCTCCGTGATCCGGAAGTACTCGAAGACACGTTTATTTTTGGGTTCATCCGCATTCACAAGGATGAAAAGAATCTGCCAAACAAGCAAAAAACTTTTGCCTCTCTGGACCCTTTACCAAGAGAGAGAAACAGTTGAAAGGCTATGAACTAATGAAATTCAAATAGTAGGGTCTAGGAGCACCTCTGGGCAGGTTCACTCTGGCACCCAGATGTGTGCAATCCACACAACCTCAGGAAGTGAGCAAGTCCTAATAGTTCATCCTTGTTCCATGCCTCAGTTTCCTTTTCTGTAAAATGGTAATTTTAATATACTTGCCTTAAAGGGTTATTGTAAGAATTAAGTAGAACAATGTATGTAAAGGCCTGGTTTGATGAACAGTAGGTGGAAGAATGTTTAATAAATATCAACTCTTGTTATTATTTAAAATTATGCTATCAAGGAAACCTGCAAGTTCATTCACATATTCACACAACAAATATTCAGAGAGTGCCAACTTCATGTTAAACATTTTATTGAACACTGGGGACACAGTGCTGTCCAAAGACAACAAAAATCTCTGCCCTGATGGAACCTGTGTTCTAGTGGAAAAGATAGATAAGAAATAAACAAACAACTGGTGAATTCAGATAATAACAACTGGAGATTATAAAATAGAAGAGGGTGTTGGGGTAGAGTGACAACACAGATAGGGTAAGACAGGGGCACAGTAAAATAATAATATCAAGAGGAGACTCTACGGAGGTGACATTTTAGCTGGGACCTGGGTGAAAAGTAGCAAACAAACTAGTGAACACTATTTAGAGAGTAGAAACTAAACACAAAAGGCTGGCAGCTGGGGCTGGAGAGATGGCTCGGCAGTTAAGAGCACTGACTGTTCTTGCAGAAGACTGAGATTTGAATCCCAGCACCTACATGGTGGCTAACAACCATCTATAACTCCAGTTCCAGGGGATCCTATGCTCTCTTCTGTCCTCTGCGGGCACTGCATGGCATGGGTGCATTTACACACATGCAGGTATACCACTCATACACATAAAATAAAAGTAATTTTTTAAAAGGCTGGCAGCAAAACAAGCATAGAGTTTAGAATGTTCTAGAAAGGAAAGACCAGTGAGACTTCAGCACCATGAAGGAGAGCATCATGGGAAATTAAGTCAGATGCTATAAAAATAAAAGGTGGGAAGGTTAAGTCCAGCGATGAGCTTGGGTTTGGTTTGATCGAAACGAAGACGGTATCAAGCCAGAGAAGGACATGATGGAAGTGTTTAAACCTTCACTCTAGTTGCAAGAAGTGAAAGCAGGTAGATGAGTTAGATGCATCTGCAGACGCCTGCTGTCAGATACCTTCAGGTCATTCCTTCACTCAGAGTTCATCCACAAAAGACAATGTGTCAGTCTTCTGTGTAAGAGAAAGATGGAACAACACAGCAAACTGTTAAAACCTTCTGAATACTTTCAGTAGCTATCAGCTACTTCTCCATATGAGGTGCTGGAGTGTAGTAATCAGCAAGATAGACATGGGATAAGATCTATTGAAACTACATTAGTCTGTTTATCTTTGGCTTGATAATCAGTTTTGAGAAGTTCACTGATTGTGGCAACAAGAATTTAGAACTTTATCTCCCAATCTATCCCCAAATAAATTCCAGGTGCATTAAAGAGTTAAGAAAGAAGCTGGAAAAAGTATAGGTAGTGGCTGGTGAGATGGCTCAGTTAGTAAAAGTGTCGACGAGCCAGACAATCTGAGTTCAATACACACACACACACACACACACACACACACACACACACACACACACATATATAGTTTGAGGATATATAACTGAAAACACAGTG